TGTCTATTGTAGGTTACATTAAAATCTACTTATTATGTTATTAATTTATTACCGTGGCATTCTATAGTGTCGTAATATCCACATATTTTTAACGTTCCATTCAGTTAATGAATAAATAAATACCACTAAAGGTAACGGTTGATAACGATAAAATAATAATAATCATTTATCTCTTTTTGCAATGTATGTATAAAATGTAGTGCATCGTATTAATAATTGACAGAGCGATGAAAATCGAAACTTGTGTATTAATAGGACAATATGAGGTACATTTTGTATATTTCGAGCACCGCAGGTACTTCGTAAAGCTTGCCAGGAGACACGCACATGACAATAATAATTAATAATAATGATAATATATCGTTTTAATATAATGTCGTCTCGACTCTGAGGCGTTTTTCGGTTTTCCTGTGAAGTCCAAAACATTCATCATCATCATGCGACACCCCACGGGGACGTGACACGACGATGATAGCACTTCCCTCGCCATATAAAATACGCCACAGCATAAAAATAAATTTATGCAAATGTGTATCACCATACAATATCATAGAAATAATATATTAAACATAGAAATTTGACCGATCACTTTCAATTATACTAGGTTCATACATCTATCCCATCCGATATTATAATACCCAAATATGGAGTACATTAGTACCTTTGATGTATGTAAAACGATGCTTATAGTAAGTAAAAAATCAGATTAATATTTTATTTATTCATATATTCCTCTCAAAATGTATTGATTTACATTGGTATAGATTTTTTTTTTTAAATTTGTATTTTTTTGTGTCAATGTAAACTGTGAATGTTTTATCGTTGAAAAAATGCTTCAATCTTTAACTTCAAAAAAGGTTTTTGACAGTAAATTGGATCTAATAAGTACTTTTGATGGATGGAAATTTTAATGCGAAATTAATTTTAGGTAAAATTAGTCCTTACTATCAAAAGATAATATATATTTGTTTGTTATAAAGCAACTCAAGAAAAACGTGAATGCTAATTACACTTCTACGTTTGAATTATTTACGAAACGGTATAGCAGCACAACAAAGTATTTGTGCACAATAATATATTATAAAGTTATGTTTATAAATTGGTATTTATTAATTATAACTATTTTTAAAATACTTTATAATCGAAATTTATAATCTATAAAAAATATCAACAAGTATCGTCATATGTATTTAAGAGAATATTAACAAAATACTTATATATAAATATAAAAATTAGTTAAAAAAATAATAATCCAAGTAAAATGTCGAATAAACTTCAAATCTTTGTATAGATAATAATATATTACCAAAATATTATTCCCGAAATTTATTCTACTTTTAAAGCTATGGTTCTTAAATTATGACCACGAGAGTGATCCCTAGATCACTTTAGTAATCTATAGAAGTACCTATACTTCGCGGACATATACTATTTAGATATTAATTGCATTATAGTACTAGTCATTATTTATGATTTTTTTTTCTTAATTTAATAAAAAATAAATTAAGGGTCTTAATTTTTGAGGATCCTTAGATATTTTTGCAACTTAATGGCCCCGTAAAAAAAGTTTGAGAACTACTGTTTATCATCAAAAATTATTTAGTTATAAATTTATTGCCAAAAGAAATTTAAAGAAAATTTAAATGAGATATAAACTCAGCTACAGTTAAACATTCTCAATAGTCTCAATATAATTATCATTCATTTCTCTATCCTTCGCTAAAATATCAATTAGACTTTTAATAACCAGTAGCTATCACAAGTATTTCTCACAAGTGTAGTTTTTTTTTCATGATAAATTTTGATTTTTAATTTTTACTTAATACACAAAAGTAAACATAATGAAATTTTAACTAATTTACGTATTAATACTAAAATATTCATAGTAGGTTATATGAATGTGATGAAACTAATAATACATTAAAATTATTATTTTTTTTTTTTTTAACTATAAATATTTAAACCAACAGAAAAGTTTAAATGTAAACTTCGTTAAATATATACTTAATATTATATGTTTTAATTTAACTATTATTATTATACAATTGTTTTTGTTATTTTTCTCGTGAAAGAGAAAAATTAAAAAAGAAAAAACTAAAAACTAAAAACTTGCTAAAATTCTTAAGTTTATGATTTATCTTTACGCTTTGACAATAACACAAATTACAAATATTTTAACAATGAATTATTACATCTACACGACTATATACTACACTTTAAGAGTTCTTGTTTTTGTAACTAAGAATACAATCTATGTACAATACTTTTTTTACATAAGCTAAATTTTGTTTTCTGTTTCTGTTAAGTATCAATTTTAGATTTTAAGCAGAACGTTAAATATATTTGTTAATAGTGGTTTTTTTATTTTTTTATTTTTATATAATTTTATGAGTGGTAAAAAAAATCCCAATTATTTTACATAATGATTTGATTGTATTAATGTAGTCAATGAAGTACTTTATAAAATGTATTATTTACAATAGTAAATAACACAGTAGTAGATATTAAGTTATAACAATAACCTTGTAGAGCAGTCAAAAATATGTTTTATGGATAGTTTAACCAAGTTTAATCATAATTATTTGATAAAATTATTTAAATGCTAATGTAAGTAAAAATTGATAAATATTTTATTTACCTAATTTCTGGCTTTTAATATTTAAAAAAAAAAAAAAAAAAAAATTTATCTACAACATAATAATGGTACTAGTCATGAGAGAATATATTTTATAAAATATTTTTTCTGTTTTAATTTTTTTTTTATTATTTAACATATTTCTACAATTTATTTTTGTTCACGGCTATTGAAAACTTAAGAATACGGTCATATTAAAATCTACTTCATACTCATTACTGTTTTTTTTTTTCTCACAACTACTGTTTTTTAAATAATTATTGACCACCATTTAACTCAAAACCACCGTCTTGCTCTCGGCTATTATTTCTCTCGCGCTATAATTTATTTGTTTATCACATATTATTTGAACGTGAATTTCAGATCGGTGTAATTATAGGATAGTCGTGAAAATATATATGCCACGTATTTATAATCTATGAATTAGTTGCGTAATTACTTAATATAAGCTTATGCAAAACAAAATATTTATCAAGTTACGATAGTTAGAACTATTAACAGATTACCAATGAAAAACTTTTCATATTATTTAAAGTGCTGATAAATCATCATGTTGACTCAGCTTTTATTCAATATTTCTGTAGTAAGTAGTGCCAATACAACGATTTTATTATACTATATACCCAGTTCATAGATATGCTAAAAAAATCAAAAATAACACTGTTTAATAAAAATAAATATCTACAATATTATCTATATTGTAAAATTAAAAATCTACCAAAACCGAAAACGCACTTGCGGATTTGTATTGGGAGACATGACACCATCATTAGTTATTTTTTACTTACGAGTATAATGATTTATCAAAATAAAATACAAGGTTATACTTAAACATTAGGAATACTGTATACTTCGTTGATCAAATTTATGTTTCGATGGTGATAAAAAAAATAAATTATTGTATATATAAATCATAGTCCTAAAAAATCCAAAATAAGATGTCTACGATTGTGCAAACAGATATTTACATGATAATAACAAATGTATAAATCAATCTGTCAACCCATTTCAATTGTCAACTATATACTTTATACTCATATTGATTGATCTGAAATTGATGCGTTTCAAGTGATTTTCGAGCGGAATAAATAAATTCATTATTCAATTTCATGTTTTAGTATACAGTAGGTATAGCTTTATTGATTTCGCGAGTAAAATCTGATAGATGACTAAAAAAATTTGAAAATTTTGAAAAACACCTACATGACGAAAAAATGAATAACGTACTTATTGCTTTGATAATTTAACAATCAAAATTTTATTGATGAGAACGAACAAATATACAGACACTAGCATTAGTCTCGAAAATTAAAACTTGTATTTTATTTTAGACACATAACATACAAATTACATTGGTACGCACTAAATTACATATAGTTTCAGGGTATCTACTATAGGTACATCGGTATCCTATGTGAGTATTATGTATTTACCTTTTTGATAATTATAACAGTCGTATAAAAAATTAATATAAATATTTTTATCATAAATATTATTTGACCTGAAAGAATTCAAATAAAAAAACTTATCCTTTATGAGCATACGAACATACCATTTACATTTTTCAATAAGATGTTTATTTAAAAAAAAAAATGTTTGTAATCAATGAAGATTATTTATTTATTTTTTATCTAACATTGTTATATTTTAAGAATAATTTATCTAGCTATATTTTTATGTAATTTTTATACTATATAGTTCGCGGAATTATCATGGTTGGCGAGGTAAGGTAATAAAACAACATTAATATTGTTTTGATATTAGATTTACATATTTCGTTTACAGTTGGCATTTAAATTATTAAAATATATTATTTATTTATTATAATAACAAATATGTATCATGAAATACTATTTCTGGTTGATTTCTACTACAATATAATACGATATTTAGAGAGTATTATAGATAGGTACTTTTTAAATTATTTGTATAATTTATAAGCTTGAGTTCATTAAACTATTAGTAAAAATTCTCTACAATTAAAAAAATGTATTACTATTCTTATTATGTATAAACTGAAACGGTATAGCTGCATCAAGATATGCGCGTTCCCATACAAACATACAATCGGTGTCTATGTATAGTATATGCATTATATATATATGTGTGTGTGTGTGTTATCATTATTATCACTCACTAAAGCATACAATTTAATTTTTCAAATAAAGTAGTTTCATATTCAATACCTCTTTTGATATTATTTATTAGATTTGAATATCAATAATATTATATCAGATTGTTGATGAACCCCAATTTTTATGAAAATTATTATATTTAATATTGTTAACAATCTATAGTCATAGTATATCTATATGCATACAAATCAATACGCACACACAATATATATATATATTCAGCTACTCACCTAAACGTTAAATATTTATGCGATTGTTGATCGGCCGTCGTCGCCGACCAGTCAAACTTCAGGAGATTGCATCCACCGTCAGCGTCCGATTGACCTCCCCGAGCCAATAGTCTGCCATTCATAGTGATCGTATAATTGTACAACGTCGAGGCGGCAACCGAGCAGTTCACCCTAACTGCAAAACAGAAACAATACGATAATAATCTAATGATTTTATTTGCTTTGGTGCACGATGTATACAAATGGCAACAGTTTAATAATATATAGGAATTTTAATGGCGTTGGGAATACGATGCTAGATAACATTGCATGAGTATACGCGTGTTTGTTAAGCGTATTATACTTAACATATATTCGCGTAAAACCTACGCATTATACTAAGTTACTATACTCAACGCCGAATCGCATTGTATTGCGTGAAATGGTCACAGTTTTTCTGGTCCATTTCGCGAAACTACCGAGTCACTCGTGCAATATTCATGAAACGGCCGAAAAATAACTACTTCATAGATAGTTCTATTGCCACACAAACGAAATGGGCAATTCTAAACAGCTGTATTATTCTGTCCAGTGGTGCAGATGCATCAACTAACTACATTATTCATACCATTATATTATGTGATATTTTATATTTTTAGGACCGATATTTAAAATATACTTGGAGTGTTGTTTAATATGTAAATATATTTAACTAAGAAATGTTTTTGAACCTACATGATGTTTGTCGTATATAACACAACACAATATAATATTCATTTAACATATCATAACAATATTCTGATTTTAAAATAAATAATGACTATGATAAATTCTGATTAATTTATTCAATAAAAATATTTAAATTCAATGATTATTACATTTATATTAAAAACTACCATACCAAAGCATATTCACTTTCACGATCTTACACACACCGTGGGTTTAAATATACATAACCCTTGTTTATTTATTTATTTAAAACATCTTTCAATTTGTACGCCATACCAGCCAACAAAAGGAAGAAAAATTTTCATTTTTTTTGTAGAACCTTCCAAATATTATAATTTAAAAGACATAATATTGAACTTTATTGTTCAACAAAACAAAAAAACTTTGATAGTAACTCATCAAAAATATAGTTCACGCCGATTTTCCTGGTAAACAATATTTTTCATATTACATATAATTAAGGTTAATGAGAAGAAAACTCTTTGAAAAGTAATTGTACATTTCGTTCAATTTTAATAAAGGTATGCTTCTCAGTATTGTCATAAATAAATATACATAATATTTATCACATATAACAAACATAATATTATGCAGTAATATACTATAAAACCTCTGTACAAAATACTGTACTAATCATTGCCTTCAAATTGAAGTATGTTATTATATTATACAAATTCTGTTTTTAATATAATTGACAATCAAAAAACAATATAAATTATCGCATGGAAAAAAAAATTAACTCCACAGAAAAATATACATGGTATGTAAATCTAAATATTTGAAACATAATCTTCAACTTAACACAAAAACTTCAAAATATCGAGATTTGAATAAATACATAAATAAAGGATATTATAATGAGGACAGGCTTTCTCGGTAAACATCCTTAATAAAGTTCTAAAACTAAGTTTACCTACATAATATCGTTTTGCAGTCGCGCCATCGTGAACTTAGAATTAAATTATGAATTAATGTTGCTGTCTGACACAAGTATAGCGTTGACACAATGTACAAAAAAAAGTATGTTCCGTGAATTAGGCGATTTCGCGTCAGGAATGTAACGCATTGTGCGAGTAGGTAAAAGATACTTTGTGATTTCTGCAAGGGACCCTGGGGGGCGAGATGATAGTAAAGATACGCACGATAAATCAGTATATTTTCTCGGGAAAACAGACGGCGCCGAAAATCTTGTAACAGAACAAAACAAAAATTATATACATATATATATATATATATATATATATATATGTATACATTACCAAAGAATAACGGTTGTTTTGGCGTCAACATCCGGAAAAGCAAAACAATTTGTCATCCGGCCGGCGAAGGAAACGACGCACGGAGCACAGCTGTAGTAACATAGTATAATTCTTTCGATGAAATATTAAAGCCCAAGATTCTTTCCTCTCACCCTATCTCGATACACACAACCATTATCTGTCTCTATCCAACTTTCACCGGTCAATTTTAGGTTGAACTTAAACAACCATTGTGGCATTAATACATTAATAACCAGTATAAAGCGATAGTACGAATAGTTGTTATTAATTAATACAAATAATACTGCCAACTAGTACCCTACCATAACAGTTTTCGACAAACATATTCGTAGTACCTATACTCAATTATAATGCTACGCAGTATTAATATTATTTTAATGTACATATGCTCGTGAAATGAAAATTCACTTGTGGTGACACCGACCAGTGAATATCGATCAACGGGCGGCGTTTATAGCAAACAGCTATATTATGATATGATATGTATATAAGTAGGCGCTTACGACGCAGTCGCCGTGTCAGGGGTGGTTCTTGATAAGTCTCAACGTAAAGGGGTTAAAAATATTTAGCATTTACATGCACACATCACATTTTACGTTGATATAGACTCATGAAAAGTGGTTTTCTATGCTTTAGACTTTATACTTATAACGCCTGTATGAAATAATTTTATTTTTTAATAACTATGATGACTATTTTAGAACTGCTACGTATTTATACCATCCATGAAAGAGGGGAGGACGATCAAACCATCGTAAACACCACTCCACCGTTCACGATTGTTGATATTTAATAGTGGAACCTCCTGGTAATATTATTACGTTATCGAATTATTTAGACGACGGCTCTATTTAAACGGGTCGGGTTCGATACGAGGAACTCGAATTCGGACGAGTGCCATTAAAATGTCAACGTGTTATATATTATTATTATTATCATGGTACGTCCAAATCGAATTATATACCTCTTTTTCACCCGTGCTCTGTATATGCATATAAACATACATACCACTATTTCGTTGACACTATTTGTTTTGTTTACTGTAACAAACTGTGTGTACTTACATAACATTATAGTATAAAATATACATACATTATCTATTTAAATTAAGTACGCATAATTATAATATTATACATTCAAAGCTGCGGCGTTTCAGTGTTTTGTAAATATTATCAAGATTATTGGACCCGGTGGTGAGTTCGAGTACACGCCGTTTGATTATTTAAATAATAATATCAACAATGTTTTAATTTGGATATTTTACTATCACGTATATATATATATATATAATATATATTTATATTATGGGTACTAAAATATTACTACTACCAGCCACAAGTACTATGACTTCTATCGCCTTCATCTACTCTATAAGCGTAAGTGTATATATGTGTTTCTGTGTGTGTGTATGTTTTTAACCATAAAAGGTCAAGTGTAAATTATAAGGAAGGAGAGAGCCGTTGTTTATAAGTACATACATTGGTAGTGAACAACAACGGAGGCGCGTTTACAAATACTAGTCCTACTAACCCCCAGCCATTTGTATATGCGCAAACATGAAGAGTGTATAATACTCTAACTACTGGTTTCCCATTTACGTACCAAAGAAGCTTTTGTGTTATGAAACTTTCTAGAAAATACTTTCAATTCACGATGAAAACAAATTAGTACAAAATACTATTTCAAAAAAACATTTTCATTTTGTCGTATACACGCTTTCGTTTACCGAGATTCTCGTAAATAATAATAAAATGTGTCCACATTTTTACTGTTTACCACAACGATATTATAATATAGAATAATATTAATAACTCAGAACTTGGCACAATAATATTATATCGTATATTATTATCAACTCGACCAGTCACCACTAAAAAGTGTTATTATGTTAAACAGTAAAATAATAATAGTGTGTCATAATTTTTCAGTTGGTTGGACTATCGTGTTTTTAATTCTTTCGAAACGACACGAAAAGCGCCTGTATTTTATTCCGTGTTTATAAATCACTGTTTTAAAACAAATTATTATTCAAATTAACTACCACAAATTAATTATTTATGCCATGAATATATACACCTATAATCGTATAATATACAATATATATATGGTAAATTATATTATATTAATGAACTTTTTATATAATTATTATTTAAAAAGTACCTACATTGTATACACCAACTTGGTTCTTAAAAAACAATACTGAAAATATTTGAAAATACGTTAGCATATTTTATATTATTTTATATTTACAAAATTACTGCATATATATAATCACTATAAATTACAGTAATTATGGTAATTAGTACGATTTAAAAATATAAAATAGTAAAAAGTTAAAAATTTTCTTTTTTATGGTTTACGAATTTCTTTCAAACATTTTTTATTATTAATTTTAAATATTTAAAAAGAAAAAGTTTTTGAAATACGTTTGCTTTTGGATTAAAATATTAAACAACAGCTTCACTTAGCGATTAACTTTGCACAAAGAGAAGCATTGTCTAAACAGTAAACACTATACAGTCTAAAACCAACAGCAGTAAAAAAAAAAAAAAACTATTGCATATAAAATAACATTGAAAATGTTCATGTATTATAATTAATATATTATTTTATAATAATTTCTCAAGATAATTATTTTTTCGGAGAATAATGTTAATCTTTACAACAATTAAAACTCAATCGCAATTATTTTATAAGTACTTTGTTTATATTCTTATCGTTAGTTACATGTTGGAGTAACACACATTAGTAAGTTCTATCTATTTATTTGTCATGACATATTAACACGCATCGTAGTATACCTCAAAATTAAATATATTATACAACTATGACGTATATGTTTGTATAAGAATGATATTATCATTCAAAGAAAACGACATAATAATATATTGAATTTTATATTTAATTAAATCGATGATAGAGTGTGTTAATGTGTTATGCCAATAAATTTTATTATTAAAAATATGACTTTTCTTATACCTCTGACAAATAGAAAATATTTTTTCTATTGTCATTTTATCATTCAACCTGTGATTGTAACGTAACGGCAAGTATAAAATATTATGAATTATATTATTCATCAATTATTTCTATTTGACATTTTAAGCTATTATTAAATACATTTTTTTTCCTGAATTTGTATGGAGCTCAGGGTCATCATGAAAAAGAAAAATGTATACGATCATGA